ATTCCATTTCAATGAAACTTAGTACAAAGATGCTCTAGGACAATCTACAAACTGATTAGTTTGGGGTTAAAATCTGTTCATAATAATTACTAATTTGCATAATTAATCAATTTCAAGCTATATCACTGATATCTAAATTATTCCATTTCAATGAAACTTAGTACAAAGATGCTCTAGGACAATGTACAAACCTGATTAGTTTGGGGTAAAAATCTGTTCATATTAATTCCCTAGCATAATAATTCAAAATTTGTTGTTACATAGATGGTCTGTTACATTGCGCAGACATAGTTTTGATTTGCATTCAATGGGCATTCTTTCTAACCTTTCTTTGATTAGACTTCTTGAAAACTACAAGCCTGAATGCTTTGATACTTGGTGTATATGTACCTTGGGTGGCTATCTCTTAGATTTGTTCATTTCATTCTCTAATTTAAGTTAATATTTTTGGTAAAAAGTGATATTTTTGACTTCTTGTTAAAATCATAAGTCCGATTGCTTTGATATTGCATATATAGGTACTACATGTGGACCTCTCTCAGATTTGTTCATTTTGTGATGATATTTTTAATTCTATAATTTTGGTGAATATTTTTGCAATTTTGTGTAAAAAGTTATATTTTCAACTTTGTGTTAAAAACCACAAATCTGATTGCTTTGATACTATACATATTGTTCATTTCCTAATGATATATTCAGTTCTTAATTGAAATGTGCTATACTAACAGTGGAGCTATCCCAGCGGATAGGCTGCTTGTTATTACTATTTAGTGTAATTCTTGTTTTTCAGTAAGCATGTTTGTTTGACTTTCTTTGTGCATCATTTTTTTGGTTTTAACAGTAGCAAATTTTCTAAATATTAGTGAATATTTTTGAATTGTTCTTCAAAATTGCTGACATAATTGCTTCTGATAATTTATGTGTAGGAACTTTTCTTAGATTGATTTGATTTATTCCACTATCATTAATTAATTTAGTGATTATAATGTCAATTTTTTCATTTTAGTGAATATTCTTTGATTGGTTTGATAATTCTTACTCATTATATCAGCCAACAGGCTGTTTGATTAAAATGAAAGATGACATGAATTTATTGCGTGTATTTCCATAAATCCTGACATCTTGGGAGTATTCTGTTTCAATGGAGTATATGCAATATTCTTTCTTTTTGATAACAGATTAGTGTTCCTAGTGCTAATAGATTGGCAGCCATTCCACAATTTTGTTTTCCTGATGCAGCAAATTGGGCAGCTGTCTCTGCATATACAAGTGAAACATTCTCATTTGTGCTCACAAGTATAGATGGATCAAGAACATTTGGATATTGTAGAAGATTATTGGTAAGCATACATATATATATACTTGGTTTGATTAGTTAATCACACAATAATTGTTCAGGTATACATTTAATTTTATTTACCCGTGTTATTATCTGCCTTGTCACTCAAGGCTGCTACAGTTGTTGATGTCATTGACTCAATCGTACAACTGTTTTACATGTATTAACCAGTTTGCAATTTTGGTATGTGTTCTATGTCTGTTTTTCAAGGTAATGGTGAATTTCACTCAAATTTATTGTGGCTGCAATATCTTCAAACTTAGAAATCATATCAATCACTATAAAATGTAAATCATGCTCAATTTTACGCATTTGACATAAAAATAAATGGACATAATGAAGAAATTTATATTGTTAATAATGAGAACCAAATGTTAGTAATATGCTCTCCAATATCTGTCAGATAAATGTTGTAATGCTCATTTGATCATATTTACATATTTATGTTTTTTTTAGAACTAGTTTGTTTTCACATAAACACAGTACAACTTTCCCGTCACTATTTAAAATAGAACATCACTCTGGATTCACACTACTGATTTCCAGATCTATTTATTTTATTTATTAACTCATAACAACCTAGTGGAGGAGGTTAAAGGTTACAAAAGAAAATTACATTGGCTATAAGTATAAAGGAGAACCAAAAACAGACTAAATGGAATTAGTAACAGAATGAACAAAATTAAATACCCACAAAATACTACAAGCAAAATATAAAAAACAGAATAAAAAAAGCCTTGAGCACATAATACTAGATATAGTCAATGGCTAAGTAGGTGCTGATGTCTAATAACACAGCTGTTTTTTATTAAGTTATTATTCAACATTATTTTTATGAATTTATTTTCAGGTCAGTGATAATCTTTTCAGCTTCTTTGTATAAAATATTCCTCTCTTTATTAGCTCCGCTGTCGACTTTGTCGAGCGGAGCTTATCATATGAGTGATTGTCCGTCGTTCGTGTTAGTGTTTTACTTTTTCGGTTTCTTCTTGAAAACTACAAGTTTGAATGCTTTGATACTTAGTGTATATGTACCTTGGGGAGATCTCTCTCAGATTTGTTCATTTTGTGATGATATCTTTAATTCTCTAATTTTGGTGAATATTTTTGGTAAAAAGTGATATTTTCGACTTCTTGTAAAAAACGGTAAGTCCGATTGCTTTGATATTACGAATATAGGTACTACATGTGGACCTCTCTCCGATTTGTTCATTTCGTGATATCTTTAATTCTCTAATTTTGATGAATATTTTTGTCATTTTTTGTAAAAAGTGATATTTTTGACTTCTTGTAAAAAACGGCAGGTCCGATTGCTTTGATACTATGCATATTGTTCATTTGATATCTTCAGTTCTTCAATTGTAATGTGCATTGCTAACAGCGGAGCTATCTCAGCCGACAGGCTGCTTGTTATATACTGGGCATATTATAAGGAAGTGGTGTTCATCTTCAATATCATTTTTGTTTCACAATTTGCAGATCTTGTCGCTACTTTTGATTCTGTTGTGTCTTTCTCTTTCAATTTCTAGACTGTGATTGCTCAGTCAGAATTTAGTTAGAGTACTTTTCATTTCTTAATTTTTTAGCTTGATCAAGTAGTTCTTCAAAATAAAATTTGTTGTATGTCCTCAGTTTGTTCTTTGTATTAGTGTGTTGTCTATTATAATTGTTGATTAAGGTAATCCAATGCTTTATAATTACATTATATTTTATCGTACATGTATATCTGTGACATTTGTGATGATTTTAGTTCATTATTGTCAATATCTGATAGCTTTGTATTTGTAGATTTCAGTACTTGTTAGTTAGGAAGGCTTCCTTAAAAAATAGGCTTTTGAGATTTGTTTAGTTGGTTATTATATTTTATTGACTGCTTTTTAATAAATGAATGGATAAAAGTTCTATAAATTCCCAGAGTGTTTTTTGATACCCCGCGGATGAAGCAACAGAAACTTAGATGTACATCTTCTATAGTAGAGTTGAATGAACTTTCTTCAGCCCAGACTTCACATCTGTATATAAGAATTGGTCTTATTGGTTTGTCAAACAATAGTGAGGGACTGAGACATTCATTATTAGTCCCCGTTTGGACGAAGTCCGAAAACGGGGACTTATAATTCGGTCTCCGTCCGGCCGTGCGTTCGTTCGGAGTCATATCTCAGAATCCCTTGGACCGATCCCATTCATTCTTTGCATGTACCTAGTACTTTATGTGGGACATATGCACAAGCAGTGGTTTAGCGATTTGATTCAAAATGGCCGACTGGCAGCCATCTTGTTTTTTGAAAATGTTGTATTTTGGACATGCTTTGTCAGTTTTCATTCAAACTTGGTACATAGATTATACATGTTAGGATACATGTCCATGACGATTTATTTTACAATTGGATCAAAGATGGCCGACTGGCAGCCATCTTGTTTTTTGAAAATGTCGTATTTTGGACATGCTTTGTCAATTTTTATTCAAATTTAGTACATAGATCATACATGTTAGGATACATGTCCCCGACCCTCCATGAATTCCTGAGTCTGTCTGTCCGTGTGTCTGTCCGTCTGTGCGTCAGCCTGTCCAGAGCCATATTTCAGAATCCTGTGGACCGATTCCGTTCATTCTTTGCATGTGCCTAGTACCTTATTTGGGACATATGCACATGCAGTGGTTTAGCGATTTGATTCAAAATGGCCGACTGGCAGCCATCTTGTTTTTTGAAAATGTTGTATTTTGGACATGCTTTGTCAGTTGTCATTCAAACTTTGTACATAGATTATACGTGTTAGGATACATTTCCATGACGATTTATTTCACAATTGGATCAAAGATGGTCGACTGGCAGACATCTTTTTTTTTTTTGACTCCCATGTGCGAAGCACAAAATGGGAGTCTTTGCAGTTAGTGTGTCTGTATGTGTGTGTGTGTGTGTGTGTATGTGTGTATGTGTGTCTGACTGTTCCACTGCTATCTCAAGAACCATACATCGGTTTTTGATGAAACTTGGTGCATAGATGCTCTGGGCCAATGCGCAGATTTGATTAGGTTTTGGTAAAAATCCATGCTCGTTAATTACCTAATTTGCATGATAATTAGCTAATTTTTAGCTGTTATATGACTGTTCCACTGATATCTAAAGAACCACTCATTGGATTTTGATGAAACTTGGTACATAGATGCTCTGAACTAATGCTAGGTTTTGATTAGGTTTTGGTTAAAATCCATGCTCGTTAATTACCTAATTTGCATGATAATTAGCTAATTTTTAGCTGTTCTATGACTGTTCTACTGATATCTAAAGAACCACTCATTGGATTCTGATGAAACTTCGTACATAGATTCTCTGAACTAATGCTAAGTTTTGACTAGTTTTTGGTGAAAATCTGTGCATATTACTTACCTAATTTGCATAATGATTAGTCAATTTTTGGGTTTTCCACTGATGTCTCAAGTACTAATCATCACATTTCAATGAAACTTTGTACATAGATCCTCTAAGACTATGCAGAGACCTAATTAGTTTT